TCTACAGAGTGAGTGGAGTTTGTGTGATCTCCCCCTGTTCTACAGAGTGAGTAGAGTTTGTGTGATCTCCCCCTGTTCTACAGAGTGAGTGGAGTTTGTGTGATCTCTCCCTTTTATACAGAGTGAGTGGAGTTTGTGTGATCTCCCCCTGTTCTACAGTGTGAGTGGAGTTTGTGTGATCTCTCCCTGGTCTACAGATTGAGTGGAGTTTGTGTGATCTCCCCCTGGTCTACAGAGTGAGTAGGAGTTTGTGTGATCTCCCCCTGTTCTACAGAGTGAGTGGAGTTTGTGTGATCTCTCCCTGGCCTACAGAGTGAGTGGAGTTTGTGTGATCTCTCCCTGTTCTACAGAGTGAGTGGAGTTTGTGTGATCTCCCCCTGTTCTACAGAGTGAGTGGAGTTTGTGTGATCTCTCCCTGGTCTACATAGTGGAGTTTGTGTGATCTCCCCCTGTTCTACAGAGTGAGTGGAGTTTGTGTGATCTCCCCCTGTTCTACAGAGTGAGTGGAGTTTGTGTGATCTCTCCCTGTTCTACAGAGTGAGTGGAGTGTGTGTGATCTCCCCCTGTTCTACAGAGTGAGTGGAGTTTGTGTGATCTCCCCCTGTTCTACAGAGTGAGTGGAGTTTGTGTGATCTCTCCCTTTTATACAGAGTGAGTGGAGTTTGTGTGATCTCCCCCTGTTCTACAGTGTGAGTGGAGTTTGTGTGATCTCTCCCTGGTCTACAGATTGAGTGGAGTTTGTGTGATCTCCCCCTGGTCTACAGAGTGAGTAGAGTTTGTGTGATCTCCCCCTGTTCTACAGAGTGAGTGGAGTTTGTGTGATCTCTCCCTGGCCTACAGAGTGAGTGGAGTTTGTGTGATCTCTCCCTGTTCTACAGAGTGGAGTTTGTGTGATCTCCCCCTGTTCTACAGAGTGAGTGGAGTTTGTGTGATCTCTCCCTGGTCTACATAGAGGAGTTTGTGTGATCTCCCCTTGTTCTACAGAGTGAGTGGAGTTTGTGTGATCTCCCCCTGTTCTACAGAGTGAGTGGAGTTTGTTGATCTCTCCCTGTTCTACAGAGTGAGTGGAGTTTGTGTGATCTCCCCCTGTTCTACAGAGTGAGTGGAGTTTGTGTGATCTCTCCCTTTTATACAGAGTGAGTGGAGTTTGTGTGATCTCCCCCTGTTCTACAGAGTGAGTGGAGTTTGTGTGATCTCTTCCTGTTCTACTGAGTGAGTGGAGTTTGTGTGATCTCCCCCTGTTCTACAGAGAGGAGTTTGTATTCTTCCCACCCCCTGCCATAGCTAAACATTTGCATCACACACGGGTGCGACATCGTCCCCGACTGTGCAAAATGTGGCAGGACCCTCCTGAACACGGCCCCAGCGGTCGCCCCTCACCACACACTCGCCGACCACACTCTCACACACCACACTCTCGCTCACCACACTCTCACACACCACACTCTCACACACCACACTCTCACACACCACACTCTCACACTCCACACTCTCACACACCACACACTCGCACACCACACTCTCACACACCACACTCTCACACACCACACTCTCACACACCACACTCTCACACACCACACTCCACACTCTCACACACCACACACTCGCACACCACACACTCGCACACCACACTCTCACACACCACACTCTCACACACCACACTCTCACACACCACACTCTCACACACCACACTCTCGCTCACCACACTCTCACACACCACACTCTCACACACCACACTCTCACACACCACACTCACACACCACACTCTCGCTCACCACACTCTCGCTAACCACACTCTCGCTCACCACACACTCGCCCACCACACTCTCACACACCACACACCACACTCTCACACACTCACACACCACACTCTCACACACCACACACCACACTCTCACACTCTCACACACCACACACTCACACACCACACTCTCACACACCACACTCTCACACACCACACTCTCACACACCACACTCTCACACTCTCACACACCACACTCTCACACACCACACTCTCACACACCACACTCTCACACACCACACTCTCACACACCACACTCTCACACACCACACTCTCACACACCACACTCTCACACACCACACACCACACTCTCACACACCACACTCTCACACACCACACTCTCACACACCACACTCTCACACACTCACACACCACACTCTCACACACCACACTCTCACACACCACACTCTCACACACCACACTCTCACACACCACACTCTCACACACCACACTCTCACACACCACACTCTCACACTCTCACACCACACACTCTCACACACCACACTCTCACACACTCACACACCACACACCACACTCTCACACACCACACTCTCACACACCACACTCTCACACACCACACTCTCACACACCACACTCTCACACTCCACACTCTCACACACCACACACCACACTCTCGCTCACCACACACTCGCACCACACTCTCACACACCACACTCTCACACACCACACTCTCACACTCTCACACACCACACTCTCGCTCACCACACACTCGCACCACACTCTCACACACCACACTCTCACACACCACACTCTCACACTCTCACACACCACAATCTCGCTCACCACACACTCGCACCACACTCTCACACACCACACTCTCACACTCTCACACACCACACTCTCGCTCACCACACACTCGCACCACACTCTCACACACCACACTCTCACACACTCACACACTACACACCACACTCTCACACACCACACTCTCACACACTCACAAACCACACTCTCACACCACACTCTCACACCACACTCTCACACACCACACACTCGCACACACCACACTGTCACACACCACACTCTCACACTCACACACCACCCTCTCACACTCTCACACACCACACTCTCACACTCTCACACACCACACTCTCACACACCACACTCTCACACACCACACTCTCACACACCACACTCTCACACTCCACACTCTCACACTCCACACTCTCACACACCACACACTCGCACACCACTCTCACACACCACACTCTCACACACCACACTCACACACCACACTCTCGCTCACCACACTCTCGCTCACCACACTCTCGCTCACCACACACTCGCCCACCACACTCTCACACACCACACACCACACTCTCACACACCACACACCACACTCTCACACACTCACACACCACACTCTCACACACCACACACCACACTCTCACACTCTCACACACCACACTCTCACACACCACACTCTCACACACCACACTCTCACACACTCACACACCACACTCTCACACACCACACTCTCACACACCACACACTCACACACCACACTCACACACACCACACTCACACACACCACACTCACACACACCACACTCTCACACACCACACTCAAACACCACACTCACACACCACACTCTCGCTCACCACACTCTCACACTCCACACTCTCACACACCACACACCACACTCTCGCTCACCACACACTCGCACCACACTCTCACACACCACACTCTCACACACCACACTCTCACACTCTCACACACCACACTCTCACTCACCACACACTCGCACCACACTCTCACACACCACACACCACACTCTCACACTCTCACACACCACACACTCACACACCACACTCTCACACACCACACACCACACTCTCACACTCTCGCACACCACACTCTCGCACACCACACTCTCACACACCACACTCTCACACACCACACTCTCACACACCACACACCACACTCTCACACTCTCACACACCACACTCTCACACACCACACTCTCACACTCTCACACACCACACTCTCACACTCTCACACACCACACTCTCACACACCACACTCTCGCTCACCACACACTCACACACCAAACACCACACTCTCACACACCACACTCTCACACACCACACTCTCACACACCACACTCTCACACACCACACACCACACTCTCACACACTCACACACTACACACCACACTCTCACACACCACACACCACACTCTCACACACTCACACACCACACACCACACTCTCACACACTCACACACTACACACCACACTCTCACACACCACAGTCTCACACACTCACAAACCACACTCTCACACCACACTCTCACACCACACTCTCACACACCACACACTCGCACACCACTCTCACACACCACACTGTCACACACCACACTCTCACACTCACACACCACCCTCTCACACTCTCACACACCACACTGTCACACACCACACTCTCACACACTCACACACTACACACCACACTCACACACACCACACTCTCACACACCACACACTCGCACACCACACTCTCACACACCACACTCTCACACTCACACACCACACTCTCACACACTCACACTCTCACCCTCTCACACTCTCACACACCACACTCTCACACACCACACTCTCACACTCTCACACACCACACTCTCACACACCACACACCACACTCTCACACTCTCACACCACACTCTCACACACCACACTCTCACACTCTCACACACCACACTCTCACACTCTCACACACCACACTCTCACACTCTCACACTCTCACACACCACACCCTCACACACCACACTCTCACTCACCACACTCTCTCACTCTCACACACCACACTCTCACACACCACACTCTCACACACCACACTCTCACACACCACACTCTCACACTCTCACACACCACACTCTCACACACCACACTCTCACACACCACACTCTCACACACCACACTCTCACACACCACACACCACACTCTCACACTCTCACACACCACACTCTCACACTCTCACACTCTCACACACCACACTCTCACACACCACACTCTCACACACCACACTCTCACACTCTCACACACCACACTCTCACACACCACACTCTCACACTCTCACACACTCGCGCACACAAATCTCACGTTTAATAATAAAAAAAAACTACAAAAACTAAAACTTTCCCATGACCGAGTCAAGAGGTAATCGATGTCGAACCCTGACCTCCGAACTTCCACTCCAGGTCGACGAGCTGGTTGATGGAGAGAGCACGGCCCAGCGCCGCCCGCGCCAGCAACGGCCTCCTCCCCTCCCACTGCGAAGACAAAGATCCCCCAGGTAGCCTCCAACAAGGCGGTCGGGGCAAGTGCTGTTGGCGAGTAGCTGCATCTATGAAGGCCCGGCACGAGGGCGGTGGGTGGCCAGCACCGCCTTTGTCTCCCCCGTGGCGATGCTTACTACACACTGCACCGGGTACTCATTTTGAGGCCTAGGGGTCGCCGAGTCCGTGCATCGCGCTAACCGATAACGTCGCCGCTCCCCCATGAAAAGACAAAGATCCCCCGTGTAGCCTTAACAGACTTTTGGGGCAAGTGCTGTTGGCGAGCACCTATGAAGGACGGCACGGCACACGAGGGGGTGGGGTGGCCAGCATCAAGCCCGGCCGCCTTTGTCTCCCCAGTGGCGATGTTTACACACCGCACCAGGTACCTTTTTGAGTCGAACTAGGGGAGGCCGAGAACCGGTTCAGATAACCGTCACTGAGTTCAACATACATAAATCTGCGTATGGGTCTCTGTGGGTCTCTGTGGGGTTCTGTGGGTCTGTATAGTTCTACATTAGTCTCTGGATCTATGTGGGTCCCTATGGGTCTCTTCCTTCCCATAGTAGGAAGCCACTGGACCTGTGCACTTTTAAATCATCATCGAGATTGACAAACTCATTTCTTTAGAACTACTTTTGTGTTTAGTTTGTTGTCCTTCCCCCGCACCTCCTGATTAGCGCGGTTAGCATGGTTGGCTGCGTGCGGTGGAAAAGAAGTTTAACATACATACACGTGCGCGTAACCATCGCTATCACGTGGTCATTATCAGACCACGAAGCATCGTTACACAGTGCTGCCGTCGTCATCGTCATCGTCGTCGTCAACATGTCCGCACTGTCGGGTTCAGGGATGAGCCCGCTTGCCGCACTGCCAGACGAACCTCGGCGAGGAAGCGGCGAGATTTCTCCTTCGACAGGCCTGCCAGGGGACAGCCGGAAGCACGCGCACGGGTCAGCTGATGATCCAGCAACTCGCCGATGGTCAGTCACCTCCACCTCGCTCTTCTGGGGCTACTGCTGCTACCACCATGGCTACTATTATTACTCCGCTCGTCATTGCACTCCGACCCACTTGACCACCGGCGGTCAGTCTGTCTCCACAGTGCGGGAGTACAGGCAGCCGCGTGCAGCAGCAGCAGCGTTAGCCACCGCCCGACGAGTCGTGTACGCGGGGAGCCCCCCGATAGGGGGGCCCCACCTGACGAGTGCCCTCACCCAGATTCTGCAGCTCCTCCTGGATCTGATCCGCGTTCAAACTCCTCCTTAGAGACCCTGGGGGAACATCGGGGTCAATGGGCGGAGGGGGCAGAGGGTGGGAGGGGCACGCATGGACTTAGGTTGTCACCAATCACTCGCACAAGAGAGAGGTTGCTTGGGACCCATCGGGGTAATGGAGACACCCCCAGAAACCTGGCAGCAGTACGATGATGGGGGGGGGGGTGTTTTCACACGAGTGTCTTGTCGGTGGGGAGGGGCACACGTGAGTGGGCCACACTAAAAGGCCACCAGAGGCCCGCCAGTGGCCCCGCGAGCCTTACAACAAAGAACACTGGCCTAAGCTCTGTGGTCGTCGATACATTACGGCAACCAATGAGTGTTTATTATATGCGCGGGAGGAAACCGGAGCGCCCAGAGAAAATTCCGCGTGTGTGAGAGGGGGCAACGCTGTATCCCGCAAACGGCCCTCCACCCCCACACGCCACCACCTCCCCCGCCTCCTCGCCCCCTTTGTATCCCCCGCCACTGCTCCCCCACCCTGAGCGACGAGCACGAGTTGTCCGAGCAGGACCTTGGGCTCCTGCAGGCCCAACGCGAGTCCCTCCAAGCGCCCAAACAACTTCTCCGCCTGCAGACACCACACACGCACGCGCATCCACCGCACGCGCACCACACACGCATACGAACATGCAACACACACGCAAAACGCACACACACGCAACACTCACACACTCAACACGCACACACACGCGAACGCGCACACACACGTGCGTGCCGCTGGGGCAAGTCCTCTCAGCAAAGGGTACCCCCGACGAAGGGCGGTGGACGCACTGGCGCCTGTGAAGGGGGGTTGGCACAGACAATGCCCCGCAACAGCCAACCCGCCCGCCTTTGCCTCCCCCCAGCGGCGATGCCTTTGCACAGTGCGCTAGTCGTTGTCAGGGTGACGACCTTGGGGAGGCCCAGCATTGGTTCAAAGACACGTGCCTACACACACACACACACAAAACTAGAGCCACGTGCAATCGTAACTTAAAGATCTGCTGGATTGACGCTTCCTTGTACCATGTGAGTTTTTTGTTGGGATTAGGCGAAGGTGCACCACGGGGCTATCACGTTTGGGGTGGAAGGCTCTCGATGCTGGCAAGGAGGTCATGGCCAAGGTGCCACCGGTTAACCGAGATGACTGAAGATGCATCATCACCTGTGCTCCCAACCTTTCCTACCCTCAACAATAATAAGAGCCACCGCCATTCGCGACGAAGACAAACAACACGACATTTTTTTTATTTCATCAGGTAAGCCCCCACCGAGCTACGTAGCTCTTTGTCAGAAGCGACCTGGCCATCACAATGATAGCTCAGCGAAGTGGCTTATCGTGTGGATACTGATAACAGCCAAATGCTCTAAACGTGCATTTCTAAAATGTGGAGGGGAAAAACCGGTGGGCGCGGGGAAAAAGTCCACGTGACCACGAAATTGAACATCTCGCCACCGTGGCGGCCCGCTAAGTGGCGGTGACGTCCCCACCACGGTGCCTGTGCCAGGCCAGGTGCACTCTGGGGCCACCACCACAAACGTCGAAGGCTCGCTGCTGACAGGAGATCACGGGACAGACCCAGCAGGTGCCGTGGGTTGACTGGCTGAGACGACTGGCAGTTGCACCACCTGTGCCCCCTGCTGTTCCAACTCGCTGCGTTTTAGCCGCTCGGCGCAGCGCTCGTTGTTGTGAGCGTCGCTCCTTTTGCCCTCCGCTGTTGCTGGAGGGTGAACGCCTCCAACAACAGTGGAGGGTGATTGTCCCACCCACAAAAGACAAAGATCCCCCGTATAGCCTGCACAGACTGTTGGGGCAAGTGCTGTTAGCGAGCAGCTATGAAGGCCGGCATGGCTACACGAGGGGGTGGCTGGCCAGCCCGGCCTCCTTTGTCTCCCCAGTGGTGATGTTTACACAGTCCCACCCTCATACAAAAAGACAAAGATCCCCCGTATAGCCTTTACAGACTGTAGGGGCAAGTGCTGTTAGCGAGCACCTATGGAGGCTGGAACGGTACACGAACGACCGCCTTTGTCTCCCTAGTGGCAATGTTTACACACCGCACCAGGTACTCATTTGAGGCTGAGTCGACCTAGGGGAGGCCCAGGACCGGTTCAGATAATCGTCACTGGTGTTGGCCGTGAGCGGGAATCGAACCCGGGTTGCCGGGTTCATAGCGCAGCACGCTACCGCTCCCCACACACTCACAGATGGACACACATACAGACACACACAGACACACACACACTCACAGATGGACACACACACAGATGGACACACACACAGACACACACACACAGACACACACACACAGACACACACACACACACAGACACAGACACACACACAGACACAGACACACACACAGACACACACACAGACACACACACAGACACACACACAGACACACACACACACACAAAGACAAAGATCCCCCATATAGCCTTAACAGACTGTAGGGGCAAGTGGTGTTAGCGAGCACCTATGAAGGCCGGGATGGTACACGAGGGGGTGGGTGGCCAGCACCACGCCCGACTGCCTTTGTCTCCCTAGTGGCGATGTTTCCACACCGCACCAGGTACTCATTTGAGGCTGAGTCGACCTAGGGGAGGCCCGGGACCGGTTCAGATAATCGTCACTGGTGTTGGCCGTGAGCGGGAATCGAACCCGGGTCGCCAGGTTCATAGCGCAGCGCGCTAACCGCTACACTATCGCTCCCCACAACACACACAGACACACACACAGACACACACACACAGACACACACAACACAGACACACACACAGACACAGACACACACACACAGACACACACACACAGACACACACACACAGACACACAGACACACACAGACACATACAGACGCGTTTACAACAACAGCAGCTGGAGTCGAACCGTTCCCTCGTGGTTGAGGGGCTCGTGTACCTGGTCAGGGTGAGTGAGTAACTCCAGAGCCAGGGCCGAGATGTCCGAGAATTGCTGCAACAAAATCAACAACAACAAGCATTAAAGTTGATTCTCTGTACTAATTTGCAAGAGTGAGTGAACGGGTGGGTGGGTGAGTGAGTGGGTGAATCGGTGGGTGGGTGAATGGATGAGTGGGTGAGTGAATGAGTGGGCGGGTGGTTGAGTGAATGGGTGGTTGAGTGAGTGGATGAGTGAGTGGGCGAGTGGTTGAGTGGATGAGTGAGTGGGCGAGTGGTTGAGTGAGTGGGTGAGTGGGTGGGTGAGTGGGTGGGTGGGTGGATGAGTGGGTGAATGGGTGGGTGGGTGAATGGGTGGGTGGGTGAGTGGGTGAATGGGTGGGTGGGTGAGTGGGTGAATGGGTGGGTGGGTGAGTGGGTGAATGGGTGGGTGGGTGGGTGAGTGGGTGAATGGGTGGGTGGGTGGGTGAGTGGGTGAATGGGTGAGTGCGTGGGTGAATGGGTGCGTGAGTGGGTGAATGGGTGAGTAGGTGGGTGAGTGGGTGAATGGGTGGGTGAGTGGGTGAATGGGTGGGTGGGTGGGTGAATGGGTGAGTGGGTGGGTGAATGGGTGAATGGGTGGGTGAATGGGTGGGTGAGTGGGTGAATGGGTGGGTGAGTGGGTGAATGGGTGGGTGAATGGGTGGGTGAGTGGGTGAATGGGTGAGTGGGTGAGTGAATGGGTGGGTGGGTGGTTGAATGGGTGAATGGGTGGGTGGGTGGGTGAGTGGGTGAATGGGTGGGTGGGTGGGTGAGTGGGTGAATGGGTGGGTGAGTGGGTGAGTGGGTGAATGGGTGGGTGGGTGGGTGCGTGAGTGGGTGAATGGGTGAGTAGGTGGGTGAGTGGGTGAATGGGTGGGTGAGTGGGTGAATGGGTGGGTGAGTGGGTGAGTGGTTGAGTGAGTGGGTGAGTGGGTGGGTGAGTGGGTGCGTGGGTGGATGAGTGGGTGAATGGGTGGGTGGGTGAATGGGTGGGTGGGTGAGTGAATGGGTGGGTGGGTGGTTGAATGGGTGGGTGAGTGGGTGAATGGGTGCGTGAGTGGGTGAATGGGTGAGTGGGTGAATGGGTGGGTGAGTGGGTGAATGGGTGGGTGGGTGAGTGGGTGAATGGGTGGGTGGGTGGGTGAGTGGGTGAATGGGTGGGTGAGTGGGTGAATGGGTGCGTGGGTGGTTGAATGGGTGAGTGGGTGGGTGAATGGGTGAATGGGTGGGTGAATGGGTGGGTGAGTGGGTGAATGGGTGGGTGAGTGGGTGAATGGGTGCGTGGGTGAATGGGTGGGTGAGTGGGTGAATGGGTGGGTGGGTGGGTGAGTGGGTGAATGGGTGGGTGGGTGGGTGAGTGGGTGAATGGGTGGGTGGGTGGGTGAGTGGGTGAATGGGTGGGTGGGTGGGTGAGTGGGTGAATGGGTGGGTGGGTGGGTGAGTGAGTGGGTGAATGGGTGGGTGGGTGAGTGGGTGAATGGGTGGGTGGGTGTGTGGGTGAATGGGTGGGTGAGTGGGTGAGTGGGTGGGTGGGTGAGTGGGTGAATGGGTGGGTGGGTGAGTGGGTGAATGGGTGGGTGGGTGAGTGGATGAATGGGTGGGTGGGTGAGTGGGTGAATGGGTGGGTGGGTGAGTGGGTGGGTGGGTGAATGGGTGGGTGGGTGAATGGGTGGGTGAATGGGTGGGTGGGTGAATGGGTGGATGGGTGAATGGGTGGGTGGGTGAATGGGTGGGTGGGTGAATGGGTGGGTGGGTGGGTGAATGGGTGGGTGGGTGAATGGGTGGGTGGGTGGGTGAATGGGTGGGTGGGTGAATGGGTGGGTGGGTGAATGGGTGGGTGGGTGGGTGGGTGAATGGGTGGGTGGGTGAATGGGTGGGTGGGTGGGTGAATGGGTGGGTGGGTGAATGGGTGGGTGGGTGGGTGAATGGGTGAGTGGGTGAATGGGTGGGTGGGTGGGTGAATGGGTGGGTGGGTGAGTGAATGGGTGGGTGGGTGGGTGAATGGGTGCGTGGGTGGGTGAATGGGTGGGTGGGTGAATGGGTGGGTGGGTGGGTGGGTGAATGGGTGGGTGGGTGGGTGAATGGGTGGCTGGGTGGGTGGGTGAATGGGTGGGTGGGTGGGTGAATGGGTGGCTGGGTGGGTGAATGGGTGGGTGGGTGAATGGGTGGGTGGGTGGATGGGTGGGTGAATGGGTGGGTGAATGGGTGGGTGGGTGAATGGGTGGGTGGGTGGGTGAATGGGTGGGTGGGTGGGTGAATGGGTGGGTGGGTGAATGGGTGGGTGGGTGGGTGAATGGGTGGGTGGGTGGGTGAATGGGTGGGTGGGTGGGTGAATGGGTGGGTGGGTGGGTGAATGGGTGGGTGGGTGGGTGAATGGGTAGGTGGGTGGGTGAATGGGTGGGTGGGTGGGTGAATGGGTGGGTGGGTGGGTGAATGGGTGGGTGGGTGGGTGAATGGGTGGGTGAATGGGTGGGTGGGTGGGTGAATGGGTGGGTGGGTGGGTGAATGGGTGGGTGGGTGGGTGAATGGGTGGGTGGGTGAGTGGGTGGGTGAGTGGGTGGGTGAGTGGGTGGGTGAGTGGGTGGGTGAGTGGGTGGGTGAATGACTGGGTGAGTCAGTAGCATCGGCCACAGCAAGGGCAACTGTTGTTCGCCAATACGACTCCCACAACAACAGCGGCAGCAGCACTAGCAACACGCCACATCAGCTGCCACACCACAGCTGCTCACACCACAGCAGCAATATCAGCAATGTACCACGAGGCGATGGTAGTAGCGACCTCGCCACGTGACGGCGGCCACTTTGTGCCAGGCTAGGTGCACTTTGAGAACACGTGAAGTGTGGGTATTATACATACACTTCACACACGTACTGCTCTTCTGCCCCCTCCCCTTCTCTCTCCTCCCTTGCCCTTCCCTCTCCTCCCTTGCCCTTCCCTCCATCTTCTCCCCTCCCCTTCCCTCTCCTCCCTTGCCCTTCCCTTCCCTCTCCTCCCTTGCCCTTCCCTCTCCTCCCTTGCCCTTCCCTCCATCTTCTCCCCTGCCTTGCCCTTCCCTCTCCTCCCCTCCTCCGCTGCCCTTTCCTCCCTTCTCGTCCCCTCTTCTCTCTCCTCCCCTCCCCTTCCCTCTCCTCCCCTTCTCTCTCCTCCCTTGCCCTTCCCTCTCCTCCCTTCCCCTTCCCTTCCCTCTCCTCCCCCGCTGCCTTTTCCTCCCTTCTCACCCCCTCCGCCCCAGAGTTCCTTGACGGTGAATTCACCTCCCTCCCGCCCGTGCCAACTATTCCCTACCCCTGCCCTCTCCCCTCCTAGACCCCCGCTGCCCCCCCCCCCCCAACACGCCCCGCTCACCTGCACCGTGAGCCCCTCCGCCATGGACTTCGCCGCGTCCGCCACGCTCAACGCCTCGGGCCCGGGGCCTCCTGCGGGTCCCAGGCGCCGCGGGGCCGGGACGGGCCGGCTCGCCTCGCTCATAGCGAGCTCGTGGGGGGGAGCGGGGGGGGGTCTTAGGGATAGGGGGAGCAGGGGGAGACGCAGGGAGACCTACAGGTCGACCCCTAAGCAGAGACAAGGAACCCTAGGGAGACAGGGAAGAGACACGGGGAGACACAGGGAGACTCGGTGAGCCTCGGTGAGACTCAGTGAGAGACAGAGAGACTCAGTGAGAGACACAGAGAGACTCAGTGAGATACACAGGGAGACAGAGAGAGACAGAGACACAGAGAGACTCAGTGAGATACACAGGGAGACAGAGAGAGACAGAGAGACAGAGAGACTCAGTGAGAGACTCAGTGAGAGACACAGGGAGACAGAGAGAGGCAGAGAGAGACAGGGAGACTCAGTGAGAGACTCAGTGTGAGACACAGGGAGACTGACTGAGTGAGAGCCACAGGGAGACAGTGAGACTCAGTGTGAGACACAGGGAGACAGAGAGAGTGAGAGACAGAGAGACACAGGGATACTCAGTGAGATACACAGGCAGACAGAGAGAGACATAGAGAGACTCAGTGAGAGACACAGGGAGACAGAGAGAGTGAGAGACAGAGAGACACAGGGAGACAGAGAGAGTGAGAGACAGAGAGACACAGGGAGACTCAGTGAGAGACACAGAGAGACTCAGTGAGAGACACAGGAAGACAGAGAGAGACACAGGGAGACTCAGTGAGAGACACAGGGAGACAGAGAGAGACACAGAGAGACTCAGTGAGAGACACAGGGAGACAGAGAGATACACAGGGAGACAGAGAGAGACACAGAGAGACTCAGTGAGAGACAGAGAGGCAGAGTGAGACTCGGTGAGACAGAGGAAGCGTGCACCCTGACAGCTGACTGGTCACGTGGCCCTCCGAGTCACGTGGGCTGCAAGGAATCGATTCATGCCAACTTTGGCGATTCAAGTTGACTCGCCTGGGTTTCTGGAATCGATTAAGAATCTATTATTTCGTCGATTGCGACGATTTCTAACGCAAGAGTGAACTCCAGAAAGACTATCTTCTATCTAAATACAAATAATAAAGACCTTAATGTGTATGTCTCAAAAACCGCTGGGCTACTTCCCGACATGGACACAAACAGGCAGAGAAAAATCATAAAATCCAAGATCAGAAAATCCAAGATTTTCTAAAATCCAAGATTTTCTCATTTTCAGGCCCCCAAATCTCGATTTTAAAGTGCCCCATAAACACGTTTGTGCCTGGTGTATCTCTCTCTGTATGTCTCTCTGTATGTATCTCTGTCTGTTTCCATGTATGTTTCTCCGTCTGCCTCTATCTCTGTGTGTTTTCCTTCCTGTGCCTCCCGATGAATGGAGTGTTATCGTGAATGTGCGCTGCATGGAAAGTGTTCATACGCTGAATAATCACAATATGTATTTATACGGGAGGAATCCGATGAGCTAAAAAATATTGCAACACAAGCAATCATCATCAGGTGAGAAAACCACAGCAAAAAATATTGCAACACAAGCAATCATCATCAGGTGGGAAAACCACAGCAAAAAATAGTGCAACACAAGCAATCATCATCAGGTGGGGAAAACCACAGCAAAAAAACAAATATTGCTGTGGTTTTCCCACCTGATGATGATTGCTTGTGCTGCAATCGAAACGTCGCGATTTATTTTATTCCATACCTACGTGACTTTACCGAAAGAACCAAAGAGCACGTGACGACGACGTGATCAGATATTGTCGGCGGAAAGATTCGGCCACTGCTTGACCATATTGGCCACAGCAGACATAGGGAAGTGGAAGCACGTGACCACAGTTCCTGTGAGCACTGTTACATTGCCTTTATGGCTTTATTTTGGTGATTTCGAAAACGTTTTTTTTGGTTTAGCCATGTTTGTTTGTTGTAGTACGGAGTAAGACTGATGGCCTTAATCTAAAGTTGTCTTGTGGTTGTTGTTGTTGTTGTTTGACTTGCATCCAACTGGGATTTTTACACACAGCGTTGGTGTACAATGCTTTTTCTAGAATATGTTGCTGTTTTTTTTCCTGGATTTTCTGTTTGCACACAGTCACATAGTCACTTTAAGATGTTTTCTTGTTCATGCTTTTTGTTTCTTTGTTTGTTTGTTTGTTTCGGTTGCACCCGATTCAAGAGCCGAATGGCTCACAGGGCTATACCAAAATAAATGAAACTGAAAACTGAAACCAAACGCGCAGTGGACACCCACTACGATCTGTCTGCCCATGGACCGTGATGACGATTAGGGACTCGCTCGATAAAACGCCGGGCTCATTGATCAAAGCGTCATTGCGCCAAATACGTGAAAATACAATAAAAAAACAACGCTAAAAATATCAGCCTTTTGCGGCCAAGCCAATGACACCATGGTAATTCCGGAAGATGTTGATTTGCCGATGACCGGTAGCGGTGGTGTCAGGATCGGCCTCTGTGAAGGACGCCGCTACTGGGCACTTGGAGGCGGCCGCCCACCAGCAACAGCGGTGGGCAGAGGAGCGACGCTCACAACAACGAGCATGAGCGCCGGGCGGCTAAGTTGGCAGAGTTGGGGGCACAGTTGGTGAATCTGCCAGTTTATATCAGTCAGTCAACCCATGCACCGAGGTCTCTCCCGTGACCTCCTGCATCTATCCGTGCGCAGCAGTCAACCCATAACAGCTGGGTCTGTCGCGTGACCTGCCAGAAGCGAGCCTTTGCACACGTGACGTGACGGCCTCAAAGTACACCGAGCCTGGCACGAGTGCTGGTTGTGATGTCACCGCTACTTCGCGGTGATCTTTACACACACCGCACCGAGTGCAAACAAACGACTACAGTAATATTCATATTCTTAGTTCTTTCGGTAAAGTCACGTTGAAGGGAAACAACGTGACTTTACCGAAAGAACTAAGAATATGAATTACTGCAGTCACGAAAGCTTTAAATCAAAATTTAGACTACAGTAATAGTTTGATAATAAGGTGGCGAGTGCTTGAAGGATTGAGTGATATTATGAGTGGAGTGCTCGATGTGTATAAGATGTGTATTCAGATAGCACGGGAGCGTGTATAATAGATTGTGTGTGTGTTCACGTGTATGTGTGGGGAGCGGTGGCGCAGTGGTTAGCGCGCTCCGCTACGAACTCGGCGACGCGAGTTCGATTCCCGCTCACGCTACCGCCTTTGTCTCCCCAGGGCTGAAATTGACTCCACACTGCATGCACCGGGTACTCATTTAAGGCTGAGTCGACCTAGGGGAACGTTTGCTGTCACGAGCGGGAATCGAACTTGGGTCGCGGTTGCGTCGCGTGAACACACGTGAACACCCACGCACGTGTACACCTACGGACGTGTACACACACACGTGAACACGTGTACATACCCAAGGACGTGTACACACACACGTGTACACCCACGGACGTGTACACACACACGTGAACACGTGTACATACCCAAGGACGTGTACACACACACGCACGTGAACACACGTGTACACACACGCGGACGTGTACACGCGGATCCGAGATCCATACGTTATCCATACGTTAACCACGTGTATGGGCATGCACACAAAACACGCAGAATGCCGATGTATGTAATAGTGTGTGCACACGGGCGCACACACTAACTTGGGTCGCAGACACTAATTACATACATAGTACACGTATGCATACTCACGCGTGCGCAGTGCTACAGATGTGTCTGTGTCATCAGCAGCGGGAGCCGTGAACCATCGTCCACTGCTGGATGAAGACTTTTTTTTTTAACCGAAGCGCACGGCTGAATTCGTCTCTCTCCATCTCCACGCTCGGCGTCTTCTTAGAGGAGCCACTAACTGTCGGCGCCGTCACCGCGTTGTTAGTCGAGTCGGCGTCGTCCTCGGCGAACCCGCGTCGTGCGTCAATTAGACTCGCGTGTCCTCCTCGCCTTGCGCCTCGCAGGCACAAGTACAAGTGTGGGGGGTGGGGGTGGCACGTGCCCCCCCCCCCAATGATTCGATCAAAATCCCTAATTTCGATCGGATCATTTGGGTTTATTAGTAATACATCGGCATTCTGCGACCCCCACTGCCACTGTGTAGCATATTATTATTATTACGTGCCAGGGACTCTATGAGATAATAGGACAATAGTCTAGGTCCATCATTGGCAATAAGTAACGGCAAAGCAGTAATAAGTGACTCACAGAATTGTGCGCAGTTGCGTATACAGTACACGACTTCCCCTAGGTCTACTCAGGCTTGGCTGAGTACCTGGCGCGGTGTGTAGTAAAGTTCACCACGAGGGAGACAAAGGCGTCCGGGCGTCGTTGCTGGCCATCCACGCGACCTCGTGCGCCGTGCCGGCCGTGATGGCTGCTGTTGTTGTAAACGCGTGTCTGTGTGTGTGCATGAGGGTGGGACTGTGTAAACATCGCCACTGGGGAGACAAAGGCGGCCGGGCTGGACACCCACCCCCTCGTGTGCCATGCCGGCGAACAGCACTCGCCCCAACAGTCTGTTAAGGCTATACGGCACGAGGGATCTTCGTCTTTGTCGTGAAAGAAATATAAGAGGCGACGTTTCGGGCAATGGCCCAACTCCTTCAGAGCGAATAACTCGTGAAGAGAGGTCCATTGTCCGAAACGTCGCCTGGTAAATATTTGTATTCCTTATAAGGCCACGCGCGGGCCCACGCCGTTTTGTTATTGACATGGAATGCGTCGAATTGTAACTTTTTATTGTATAGGAAAACATCTGTAATATATTTATTTTCAATAATACACTTTTTTTGGGGGGTTAGATCGCGTAAATATATTAATGTGTCGTTAAACCGGCCACCACCCGACACAGCCAATTAGTAAGGGGTTTGTCACGTAAACAGAAGATGCCAATTCGTTACGAGTACAGTGTTGGAGAGTAAATCCACAACATTTACAATCTGAGTACGACGTTTCTAAATAGATTTTAAATAAATATATTTTAATATATTAACCGACTATGTTCAGTAGGGTCTTGCCGCTACATTGGGTTATTTTATGATCTTTATTACTTATTACTTATCTATATATAAAAGGGAAATTTGTGAATATGTGTGCCTGTTCAAAATGTTTAGCGTACTTCCCGACATGTAACAAACTTGAAATTTGCCATGTGGGTACTTTCCAGACTGTACACAATGCAAAAATTATAAAAAATAAACTTTTGTGTTTTTTTGCGGGGGGAGGGGGGAGCTCAATAATGTATATATTTTTTGCACGTCAAGTGAGCTGTGACGTCAAATCTGTCACGTGACCCGCGCACGTGGAAGCGTAACGCATTGTAGTGTAGCGGTTAGCGCACTGCGCTACGAACCCAGCGACCAGAGTTCGATTCCCGCTCACGGCCACCACCGGTAACGATTATTTGTAATTGGTCCTGGGCCTCCCCTAGGTCGACTCAGCCTCATACGAGTAACTGGTGTAGTGTGTGAACATCGCCACTGGGGAAACAAAGGCGGCCGGGTGTGGTGAATCCAAGTCCCGGGCGAAGCCGCGTAGTAAAGCTAGCTCTATATATCTTTTAAAATATATATTAATTGCATCATTTGGCGGGACCCTGGGGTCCCGCAAGAATCAGGTAAATAATTATTATTTTTCAGTCCGCCCCACTCGTGATCCCGACAGCAACGCGCCGCCCGCCCAGACTCGCACCAACAAGCGCCAGCAGCAGCAGCAGGCGGCGATCAACACGATGGGCGCCACCCCACCGGCCAATCGCAAGCCCCGGGGGGCGTCCGCCGCAGTCGCCCTCCGGTCAGCCGTCGATCCTCAGCTTCTTTGCCAAGGCGAGCCCGCCCTCCCAGGCAGTGAATTTAACGTGTTCATGTAATTTTTCAACTTTTTACGAAACTTAGTGCCCCGAGTAGCTCTCGACGAGGCCAATCGATTGACACTAGTTTTGTTGTCGGTAAGGCAAGACTCAACACTGTCTATAGACTAACACTACCCATAGACTCAACACTGTCTACAGACTAACACTTCCCATAGACTCAACACTACCCATAGACTCAACACTACCCATAGACTCAACACTGTCCATACACTAACACTACCCATAGACTCAACACTACCCATAGACTCAACACTACCCATAGACTCAACACTGCCCATAGACTCAACACTACCCATAGACTCAACACTACCCATAGACTCAACACTACCCATAGACTCAACACTACTCATAGACTCAACACTACCCATAGACTCAACACTGTCCATAGACTAACACTACCCATAGACTCAACACTACCCATAGACTCAACACTACCCATAGACTCAACACTGCCCATAGACTCAACACTACCCATAGACTCAACACTACCCATAGACTCAACACTACCCATAGACTCAACACTACCCATAGACTAACACTACCCATAGACTCAACACTACCCATAGACTAACACTACCCATAGACTCAACACTACCCATAGACTAACACTGCCCATAGACTCAACACTGCCCATAGACTAACACTACCCATAGACTAACACTGCCCATAGACTCAACACTACCCATAGACTAACACTACCCATAGACTAACACTGTCCATAAACTAACACTACCCATAGACTAACACTACCCATAGACTAACACTACCCATAGACTAACACTACCCACAGACTCAACACTGCACCTCCAATAAGCACGGCTGGCTCCGTACGGTGCGAGAGAAGTTCAACACACATATACACAAACATACACAGGTTAACAACAATTTCCCAAGTTCTGCGGTCCTTTATACGTATTAAGGTGGTGTTAATCGCGAGCGTTTATACACACGTGGGAAGGCGGAAACACTATCCCATACAGCTTGAACAAGTGGAATCCACATATTTGCTGTGCTGCCTTCCGGCAAGCGAGGTAGAGTACGGCTCCTTCTCGACGCCCACGGGGAAGGAAATTTCGCAACAATTGTGAGCGGTGATCCACCAACCCCTGCCGCTGTCTTCACAGTGCTCGATTATATGCGGTCACCCGCATAGCCACCGCCACCATTGCCCAGCAGTTGATCAGACGTCTCGTGGGAGGCTCGTGTCTTCGAGCGATCTGCAGTTGGAGAACTTCTTTCGCACCGTACCTCGCCAACCGCGCTTATCGGAGGTGCGAACCCTTCATTGCGCGTTCTCTGCTCGTGCCGGATGTGACGCGAAAGCGTGACTCACAAAAGGCGACATCACGTGACTATCACCCAGTCACGGGACGACTACTCTCAGCGCCCCCCCGCCCAACTCATCCCCCCAACCTCTCTCTAACCCCTCCCCTCACCCCCCAACTCCTCCCCTCACCCCAACCCCTCCCCTCACCCCAACCCCTCCCCTCACCCCAACCCTCCCCTCACCCCTCCCCTCACCCCCAAGCCCTAACCTCAGCTCCTTCCCTAACCCCCAGCCCCTCACCCCAACTCCTCCTCTCGCCCCCGTTATTCCCATTACTCCAAGCCCCTCCCCTCGCCCCAGCCCCTCCCCTCACATGTTTCGCTCCGGATGACGCTGCAAAGTATTATCTGTATTTTGATTTAGCGTGCTGATCTTAAAGGTGCATTGAAATTTTTTTATACTCCGACCGATGCTTCTGTTGTTGTGGAAGTAACTCGTGCAGCCAGCTGTGGCTCTAGGATTTGGTGGTACATGTTGTTTATGCAGTTTATTGTTAAAATTCGGTCACAGTCCTTGTGATCACTGTTACGTTGCAATTATGGCTTTATTTTTTGGTGATCTGGAAAACGTTTTTTGGTTTGGACATGTTTGTTTTGTTGTAGTACGGAGTTAGACTGATGGCCTTAATCTAAGTTTTCTTGTGGTTGTTGTTGTTGTTGTTTGACTTGCATCCCACTGGGATTTTTTTGCACAGCGTTGGTGTACGGTACTTTTTTTCAGGAATATTTTTGCTGTTTTGTTTTTCCCATGGATTTTCTGTTTGCACGGTCACACATAGTCACTTTAAGATGTTTTTCTCGTTTGTGTGTTTTTGTTTGTTGTGGTTGCACCCGATTCAAGAGCCGAATGGCTCACAGGGCTATACCAAAATAAATAAACTGAACACCCCAACCCCTGCTCAGGCTTTTATAGAAGCCCCTCCCAATTTTCCCAGCCCCTCCCCTCACCGCCCGCTCACTTGCAGCTCCTCCCCTCATCTCCAACCCACTCCCTCTTACCCCGCCCTTCCATAGCCCCTCCCCTCACTTCCAGGTCTCCACCCCCACCCCCCGCTACTCATTTCCAACCCCTCCCATTTCTTCCAGCCCCTTCCTTCAGCCCTCCCCCCCATCTCCCCCGCCCTCTGATTGATGGCTGCGCGCGCGCACGAAAACACCGCGCTCGACCAATCAGAGCGCGCGACACGTCTCGGGGCGTTGCGCCCACCTCACGGACCAATGGGGAGCCGCGTCTCACCGAGTGCGCATCGGCCCAGGCGGCCTGGTGTGAACTCGGTGCGGCGACCTGCAAAAAGTGGAGCGCGGATTCGGCAAAGCGCGGATTCGAATATTCACTCCCACGAGGTTCAATGTACAATTTACCTCACGTTTGTGAATATTATTGCACCATCTTAAAGTCTGCATTGATACGCATTATCTGCGTGCGAAATTTTAAGATTTTTATGGTTTAAATAATTAGATGGCATTGTCTCACGCCTATCCAGGCTCCGTAATGGAATCGTCTATGGGTTTGCGGGGCTACGAACAAAACCCGGAGCGCGGATCAGCCAGTGCGCGCGGTGCGGACTAGGCACTCTCACGCAAATTAAACACGCAATTTACCTTACGTTAGTAAATATTAACGCGCAATTCATTCACTCACGTTGACACCTACCGCCTGCGCGCAAGTAAAATTGAATAGTTTCAACGTTTTCTATGATTCTATTTCTTTTCATTGACTGTGCCTGCATCTCCGTCGAGGCTTTTGCGGATTTCTAAAGCGAACGGACGCGGGAGGGGGGGTGTGTGGTGGATAGCGGGCGGGGGAAGGAGTGGGGGGGGGGGGACTGTGAGAGTGGGGGGCTTGGGGGGGGGGGAGGTTTGGGGGGGGGGTCGTTAATTGGAGGCAGCGCGCGCTCTGCTCCGCGCGCATTAATTGGGGGGTGCGTGCGTTGCTGCGCGCACGTGGACGCGAGGAGCGAGGTAAGAGGCGTCTCTGCGAACGCAAGTGCACAAACACAAGACGACGCGAGCACGATCCACACAAAACAATTGCACGAAGCTGCCTCTTGAGTGTTCGAGCGCGCGCGCCACACACACATACACACACGCGCAAAACACTCCACGCAGAAACACGCCACGCGTAAAACACACCACATACGCGACAGACACAGACACACATACCAGGCCACACAAAACACGCGGGAGAAACCGGTCTGGGATATATATTTCTTGTTGTTGTATTGTTTTCCCGCACTTTTACATCCAAACAACCCTTGGCGGTGACGTCACTGGAGCGCTCTTGACCGTGACTTTTTTTCCCCTTTTTTTCGTCCCCCTGAGGTGTTCTCGTCGCTGTTTTTTTTCTCTCGTTCTTTTTGCCAGCTGCTAACCTTTTTGTTGTTGTTTGTTGTTATTGTAACATACATATATAAGAGAAAAAAAACCGCGTACGTACGTCGGGGCGTGAGGGGTAGAAAGCCTCGCCGAGGCGGGATGTCGCGGTTGTTGTCGGTGGTGGTTGTTGTTGCGCGCTTAAAGATTACAAAGCGCAACTTAATAAGAGACGGGCGTTCTAACGACAGTCGAGTGGTAGCAGCAGCTTCAGCAGCAGTCTTGTGTGTTAACGTAATGTAAAAATGTAAAAGCGCAGCACTGCAAATGCCGCGCTCACGCCGCTGCTGTCAGAAGGCGCCGCTCTGCAGAGTACCGTATTTGGCCTACTCTTCGACGCTGATCAAGAGACGTCTTTAGCAAGAGGTGGGAGTTAACCAACACTTTACCTCGCCGCACGCGACTAAACCTCGTGTAAAACTGAGCTGTGTAAAAACCGATAGCTGTGTAAAAACCGATAGCTGTGTAAAAACCGATAGCTGTGTAAAATCGATAGCTGTGTAAAAACCGATAGCTGTGTAAAAACCGATAGCTGTGTAAAAACCGATAGCTGTGTAAAATCGATAGCTGTGTAAAAACCGATAGCTGTGTAAAAACCGATAGCTGTGTAAAATCGATAGCTGTGTAAAAACCGATAGCTGTTGCCGACGATGCCGCAACCGATAGATCGAACCGAACGGGGTCGAGCCGCAGCGACACCCGTTAATGATTGTACACGTGGTTGTTAAACTTAATGGGCATTGAGTTGCGTCTGCGAATCGTCGTATTTGCAATGCACAAAGTACTGTGTGTGACGAGAGGAAACCCCGTCATCGTAACGTTAGTAGTGGCATATGGCAAGTTTCAAACAATAGTCGCAAGCGACTCTATATAGAGTTGCCCTCCCAACAACAGTTGCAGGGAGGCGTTCAGAGGTGCACCTAGCCTGGCACCACCACGCCCTGTGTGTGACGTGCATCGAAGGTGCACCGAAGCCTTGCACCACCAAACCGCGCTGTGGTGACTGTCCATAGGGGGGGGTGCACCTAGCCTGGCACCACCAACCCGCGTTGTGGTGGCGTCCATCGGGGGGTGCACCTAGTCTGGCACCACCTACCCGCGTCTGTGGTGACCGTCCATCGGGGGGTGCACCTAGCCTGGCACAACCAACCCGCGCTGTGGTGACTGTCCATAGGGGTGTGCACCTAGCCTGGCACCACCTACCCGCGTCTGTGGTGACTGTCCATAGGGGTGTGCACCTAGCCTGGCACCACCAACCCGCGCTGTGGTGACTGTCCATAGGGGTGTGCACCTAGCCTGGCACCACCTACCCGCGGCTGTGGTGACTGTCCATAGGGGTGTGCACCTAGCCTGGCACCACCAACCCGCGCTGTGGTGACTGTCCATAGGGGTGTGCACCTAGCCTGGCACCACCTACCCGCGTCTGTGGTGACTGTCCATAAAGGTGTGCACCTAGCCTGGCACCACCAACCCGCGCCCTTTGTGGTGACGTGACCACACACTTAGTGGCGAATGGCGGAGTTCCTACATGGGGTGTAACGATCCTCGATTAAACAATCCGATTCAATTATTAATTTTGGAATCGATCCTCTTCAATGTTGTATTGTATTTAAGTTGCTTGCTTACAGCGGTCTAACGAAACGAACCCATTCATCAGTAGCCATGGTCAGTCCACTGCTGGATGAATACGTTATTTGTGTCTGTTCCCAAGCTGTCGCAGTCTCTCGCAATCTGCGACCTCGTCCCGTCGCTCCCATCTCTCCGAAGGAGACTCCCTTCGCTCGTTCCACCGTAGGGAATATTTTTTTTTATTTTAACACAATGCGATTCGAGTTTCCATACTGTTCAAGTAATCTACGCATCGTTACACTCGGCAGCGATCACTGCTGTGTGAACTCTAGTTGCACGAGACGTAACGCAATGTACATAAAAGGTGGGCGAGAAGTTCCTATACCCCTGTCCTACAGTGCGCCATCGTGGTAGCATAGGTAAACGAGAGGGGCTTTCCACTATCCCGGCAGAAGCCTTATGTTCGTCGATGTACTTGTAAAAATGTTTTGCCCCCTATGTAAATCCCACTGCTGGATGAGGACTTATCACCCAGCAGGGGAATTTGGTTGGGGGGGGCGGCGTGGCGGGGTTTTGACCATACTTCACGCTGGTCAGATTTTTTTGGGGATGTTAATGCGAGTTAATTGTGGCGAATGCTTGTATGGGTGGTAACTCCTCCTCCCTTCATGCATAAAACATGGCTCAGAGGCTGCTGCATTGGGTAAGTGGACATTAATTTAGTACGCAAAAATATGTCAAAACCTGACTGCTCCCTGTACGCACGCGTACTTTTTACCCCCCCCCCCCCCCCCACCTGCGTACGCACGCTTGACGCACCCCCCCCCCCGAATCCTATAGAACGGCCGATATTTAATCCACGCAGAAACGATCAAGGATGAATATTAACGTGTTTAAGCTGACAGTCCACCGCCGGACTAACTCATTTGAAGGCCAATGTAGGCAACTTATTATCGAGGCTTCACCCCCCCCCCCCCCCCCCCCCCCCCGTTTCTTATGCGTACGTACATTGTCAGTAGACTCCCCCCATACGCAAGCGTACGCATTTGAGTTAATCCCGCCTTCATGCGTACGTACTAAATTGATGGCCCATAACGTTATCAGCAGAGGATGGGTGCAAAAATATAATCCATTGTTATGGTGCTATGCTCCTAACATTTACGCTTCAGCCTTTCACCAAGCTGCCCTGAACAAAGTGGTGAAGTGTGGTCATTATAAACCCCTTGACTCGCATGGCGTGGGGGAGGCCTTCGTGGATTAATTAAAAGAGCTGTACATGCGCATCTGTTTGATAATAAACCAGAGTAAAGTATTATACGTAGAGTGTGTTTTAAAAATGAAGTGATGCCGAGGGTTATTTAATGAGTAAAAACAATCGTAGTTAATATCTCTTTGGGATTGATGGTCCAATTGAGACTCGTGCTCCACTGCAAGTGAGATATTTGTGTATACACTCACGCAGAATCAGTGTTTTTTTAAATAGAAATGTATTTCCGAACAAAAAAAATATCTTCTGTTATGTTGTAGATTGATGGGAACAGTGGTTAGTTAGTTAGTTGTGTGAACCCTATGGTGTGAGTTAAATTCTTGCTCACGGCTTATTATGCTTGTATAGTCAAAGAGAGCCTCACTGAGTTTCAGGACTTATTTTTTCAAGCGAGCACTGCACAGTTTTTTCACAGGTAGAGGAGGGGAAGGTATCTGCTGCGTGCATTTCCAAATCCGTATTTTGCAGGCATTTTTTGTTCAGCATTAAGGACATTCGGCCAATACCAGTTTAATTGTTTTTTTTTTGCGATGCAAGGAACTGGAGAACCCGGTGGAAACCCATGCAGAATGGGGAGGGGCGGGGGGGAAGATACACATTCAACACAGGGGGATGCTCCCGAGTCCACGAGTCAAACCAACGCAAGGCAGGCGGCAACCTTACTGTGTAAGGCACGGCGTCACCATGTGCCGCCAGTTTCAGTGGCGAGTGATATCTGAACCGCTCCTTGGGTCTTCAGCAAGGTCAACTGGCCCGTTAAAATAAAAGGAACCAGGTGCGGTAATGGCCTGTGGGTCTAAAGAAGGGAACCTGCCCTCACTTTCCACAGCACCAGTTATATTCGTGATTTAATGCTGAAAAGTGACAAAGTGATGAAAGCATTGTTGTAAATGTTGCCGTTAAAAAAAGTCTCGACAATTGGTAGGCGGTAAAAGCCATGCTGCAACACGGATCAAGAAAACGTGGGCATTGCAACAGGAGCTGAAATTGCACAAAGAAGCATGGTAGAAGTGAATGCTTGCAATTTCGGAGAGATGTTAATTTTAGAATCTACACAGGTTAAAACATAATTATCAACTGTGGAGAAGAGTGGGCTTGTGCATGACACTTGAAGGGGATGATGGCTAGTAGTTGAGACTCAATAACGGAGTGACAGCCAAGGGGGGTGGGAAACGCACCTGAGATGGTGCGATAACATTGGTCTCGTGCGTCGGAGCTAGGGGCCGTTATATCGCAGGACCCTGAGAGATGGTGACGGTTTAGGAAGGTCTTCAACAGTGGATTGATCATGGATGATGATGGTGCTGCAGATGAGTGCTACCTGTTGGGGTGCCACGTGTTACGTTGACACTGGTTGTGTTCGTGCGCCGCCACGGTGGCGAGATGTTAACTTCCTCGCCTGGTATACAGGAGGTCGTGGGGTTGGTCACACCTGTATATTTAGAGTTTGCATATCTCTCTCCCCGTGGTGGCGTGGATTTTTCTCCTGGTCTTCCGGTTTTTTGCGCCACATTTAGACAACATGAAAAAAGTTACCAAAATAGCTCAGTGGGCCTTACCTGGTAAAATAAAAATTATATTAGGAATTAGTTTTAGTTTAGTTAGTGCGGTCGAGAGCGTGATCAATGTGTGGTGAAATAATAAATGAACACGTGCAGGTGTTGTGCTCACTGGTCGACAATAGTGCAGTATATGATCCGTTGGGTATAGCCTTAAGAGACTGTTGGGGTAAGTGATTTGAGCGAGCACCTAATGAAGAACGGCAAAACACCCCCCCCCCCAACCACCACCTCCCAACACCAATGGTTTCCAGCCTCTTTTTATACAAGCAGTCCAAGCGATGGACGAGGTTATCAGCAGTGCGACACATTGAGCAAAATAATGTTAGTTGTATCAATGACGATGAAGGAAAACAAAGAGGCATCGGTCTTCAGTTGGCAAAAAAACACATCCTGGACCAATAATTTCCAGCCACATTTAATCAATCAAAGATATGGACATGTTTGAACTTTCTACACTCGTCAGCAGTGTGACATGTTAAACAAATACCGATGTCTTCGCCGAACAATAAGAGAACATTACGTGTAGGTGTAACAGCTTAAAAAATATGTCCTTTGGACAATCGTTTGAAAGCAGCATGAAAGTAGTGAGCCGGTTTCGCCTTTTAGAGTGGAGTCAGGAGTGCATAGCCCTTTAAACAAATGCTGTTCGGTGAGGGCCAATGACTAAAATGTGTTACAGGTGTTATAGGCTGCACAGGCTGTAACAGTAGAGGGCGGTGCAGTATATTTCATTCTTGGACTGCTGCTATGTTCCCAGCTTTGAGCCTCCATTGACCAAGTATGGTTAAACCATCCCTTTGACAGGTTAGGGTAAGGTGGTAGGGTGATGAATAGGTTTAGGTTTTTATTTTATTGAAACTTTTATTTTAGCAGGTAAGACCCACTGAGCTGTATAGTTATTTTTTCAGAAGCGACCTCGCTCAGTCACGTGGAAATTTATAGCAGCCAAATACTCTAAACGCATGTTTCTAAACGTGGAAGGAAAAACTAGGGCCCAGAGACAAATCCACACAACCACGGGGAGAGAGACACGCAAACTCCAAATATACAGCAAGCCTCTGGGTCGGGATCGAACCCACGCCCTCATGCATAGCAGGCGAGGTAGTTAACATCTCGCTACCGTGGCGCTCGGTTTATGGATGGGTTTAGATTTGAAGATGGGGATATGGTAAGGTGATAGGAGTAGGTTTCCAGATAGGCGTAGGAATATTGATAGAGGTGGAATTAGGACTGGCTAGGGTTTTTTTTGTTTGTTAGGGGTAATACAAAGGATGTGGTTAGGCTTGGGGTGGGGGGGGGGGTAGGATTAACAGGGTAGTGTCAGGGGTTAGGGTTATTCCTCTTCTCTACATCATCGTTAAGGGCCGTCGTAATGATGATGTCGCTCATCGCCCCGCATCTGTGAACTCAGCTGGTGCTCCTGTACTTATAAGTGGGGTTTACGCTCCGTGAGCATTGCCTCACCCTGTGAGGATTCTAAACATCTGTGCCCGTACTGCGGCTGTTGGTAATTATACACAGCCGCTGAAATGATGTAACCTCGCGGCTCGCCTCCAACCGATGCTGTCTTTCCGCTTTCACTAGTTTACTCCACATTCAAATAAATTAACTCGTTCGACGCTGCACGCGCCCGATGATTGTTAAACCCGTCCCACGAGACGCGCTAAGAAGCAATTAACTCTGCCTGTGTCACGTGGAACACGCGCACACGCACGGAACACGTGAATGGACACGTGGACACGCGCGCACACTGAGATCGCAATCTTCATTTGAATCGGCTCTATTAATGCAGACAGCGTTAATTGCTGAGCGCGTCACGCGGGACGGTGTTTAACAATCATTTGGCGCGTGTAGCGTGGAACGAGTTAATTTTTATTTGAATAAGGGGGGGGGGGGAAATTAAAATGGTAAACGCCTATAGATGGAGCGCGGAGGGGTGAGGGGTCGCCAGGATTGAAGTTTTGGAAACTCTGAAATTGTAACCTATGGGTCCAATTGGCAGTGAGACCTCTGCTGGTAAGACAGACTCAGCGGTGAGACCACGTGCTCCTTCCGCATGTTACCTTATTCGAATTATAAGAATCTCTGTTACCGTATTATAGGGCGCTCCGGAAAGTAACATGCATCCCAAAGTTGGTGGTCAGTATCAGTACAATTACTGTATACATATCTGATCTCACACAAGCACACATATTTTCGTTCGTTTTGTTTAAAAACACAAAGGGATAAGTGCGTCGTCTAATCTGTAGAATATGGTAACAGCTGATCAATTTACGAATGACAAACCATTCTTGTATTATGCACTATGTCGAACTTCTTTCGCATCGTACGTAGCCAAACATGTTAATTGATTGTAGGTACGGGCTAAGGACAACAAACTATGCAACAACAAAAAAACAGTTCTGAAGAAATACGTTTTTTAATCTGTATGTATTAAAAAAAAAATGTTACGTTACGCCAGTGCAGCAAATTCCATCGTCGTTTCGTGCTGTTCTCCAACGTCCGTGGCTCCTCGCCTTCGCCAACCCGCAGTGACCAGCGTGGTATGGTCATGCTCAGACAGTCACCCATTACTGACATGGCATGGAGAGGCCTTTGTCCAGCTGTGGATGGACACTGCTGGATGGATTATTGATGCTGCGCCGTGATGTTTTGTTTCGGTGAGCTATTCTCAAACGCGAATGATTGCAACGGCTGTGCGAGGGGATGCCAATGTATTCTTTGTTTCGCGCTGTGAGCCAGTAGCTCGATTGGAATCGGGTTGGCTACTAATCCGATAATGTAGACTAGCGGCTCTTAACCTGGGGTGCACGCACCCCCTGGGGGTGTGAGATGCCCTTTCTTGGGGTGCGAAACATGCCAGATTTTTGTTTTTAAGAAGGTAAATAATCGAAACGCAAATTAAGCGCGGCCACGTAACTATGTGTCTATTAACATACATTTTATTTTTTTACGAATGAGGCTGCAGTAAAGGTTGAGAACCACTGGTGGTAGAGTACTAGTTTAACGGCGAAGTATTGCTTGTGCTACAAAGATGATAGCACTTAAGCAGAGATGGCACCTGCGATGAGCGCGGTTGGCTATGTACGGTGCGAAAGAAGCTCAACGTACATGCATGCATACCAAGAAGGGTCGTTGTGCGTATGTATGTTGAACTCCTTTCGCACCATACGTAGCGGATCGTGCCATCCTAGACATTGCACCACCCTATGGGTTCGATTCCAAACCCGGGCACCTGTCTGTGTGCAGTGTGTACGTTTTCCCTTTGTTCCGCGTGGGTTTCCTCCTGGGGTTCTCTGGTTTCCTCCCTTCGTCGCAAAAAAAAACATCGTAAATATACAAGCCTTGTATCGCAGGTTGAGAAATCATACAATGTAACTTGGGTATTGGCCAATACATTGCAATGTTGTGATATTGCCTGTAAATTACTCAATCAGGAATTGTACATTGCAGCATCTCCGTCGACTGAAAAAAAGTGGCGGGACCTGGCTGAAAATCAGCCTTGAGACCGAGGCGAGGTTTTCCTGCGGCCGTCTGGAACGCTCTTCCTTCCAACATTATGAAGCCACTGGAGCTGTGCGCTTATAAATCCACTAGATTGAAAACTAATTTCTTTACAACTGCTTTGTGTCTTTAGTTTGTTGTCCGTCCCCCCCGCATCTCCAATTTAGAACGGTTGGCTACGTACGGTGCAAAAGAAGTTCACGCATACATACATTTGGAAGCCACTGGAGCTTTGTACTTTTAAATCTAGATTTAAAACTCTTTTCTTTAGAACTGCTTTCGGTGTGTTTAGTTTGTTGTCCTTCACCCCGCACCTCCGATTTGGCACGGTTAGCTACGTGCGGTGCGAAAGAAGTTCAACACACATGCATACCTACCATACCGTACACAAAGGTAGAATTTCAGTCGCGTCTGTTTGGGTAGGCCACCTGGAGATATTTCACCCCCCTTCACGCCACATCCAGTATACCCCTTGCTGCAGGCTTTGGCTACCAGTCAAGTGCTACCCACTCTGATATACCAGCAACTCGGAAATACATTCAGTGACAAATGTAATGATTATTAAAGCTTTTGCAAAACACGTTGCATTCTGCAGAGCCCACTTGGATGAGGCAAAATTAGCTTTTACCGATTACTCAACGAGCAGCAAAATATTTTTTCATGGCGACGCCCTCATATGCGGCGTTCACGCACTGCACCAACTCTCCCAAGGTGTGCGTGAACGTGTGAATCGCAGGAAGTCTTCTCTTCTCTCACTCGCTAAAAATACTTAAAATCACACTGTACCTGAAACTGCTTTTGACGCCTTGCAGTTAATGTTGAAAGCGTCAATGCATGTCCAATAGTCCGACAAACGCCTGCACACGATGTTACAATTTGATTTCGCGCAATGGTGCCGGGTGACTGAGGGTTATACGACAACAATTTAGCCTGATAATTCTGTGTTCTAGCAAAAAAATAAATGCAATTGTGAATTAAACTGTTGAATTTGACCCCTCTCCCCCGTGCTGTACAAATAATCTGGTGGTGATGCTGCTGATGCGTTTGTCAGTGGTGCACAAGCACAGCCAACAAAACAACTCATCACGTTCTGTGCCAATAACACCGCGTGTGTGTGTGGGGAGTGGCAGTGTAGCGGGTCAGCGCTACGCTGTGCTACCAACCCAGCGATCCGGGTTCGATTCCCGCTCATGGACAACATCAGTTAGGATTATCTGAATCGTTCCTGGGCCTCCCCTAGGTCGACTCGGCCTCGAATGAGTATCTGGTATGGTGTGTAAACATCACCACTGGGGAGACAAAGGCGGCCGGGCATGGTGTTGGCCACCCACCCCCTCGTGTGCTGTTTCGGCCTTCATAGGTGCTCATGAACAGCACTTGCCCGAACAGCCTGTTCAGGCTATATGGGGAATCTTTGTCTTTTGTGACCTTAAACATAAAACATGAAACGCAACGTTTCCGATAATGACCCTTTTTGTATGTATGTGTGTTGAACTTCCTTCGCACCGTACGTAGCCAACCGTGCTAATCGGAGTGCCATCTATTTACGTGCTGTAATATCGCCAGCGCATAAACAGAGGTGGAGTGGGCAAGAAGAGTTTGGAGACCGCATTTGGCACCATGGGTCCTGACGATAATTATTTTGTTTGGACAATAATTGTGTATGAAGCTTCTATGACTGGCAGAGCGAGGTTTTCATGAACAGCGGTGCGCAGGTTCGAGAGCTCGACAAGAGAGGGACGCGGGCGAAGAGCACACCTCATTTCTTTGGGCACATCTAGTATCTCTCCCTGTGCGAACAGGTTGATTGACGCCAAGCGACGATGGAGCTGGCAGCACTGACGGTGCCCGTGCACTTGCGACGTTGGAGCTGAGGAGGGGGAGGGCGCTTGTGCAGGGTGGTGGCGGCAGCGGTGGTGGCGGCGACCCCGTCTCCTCGTGACCTCTTTCGACCCCCCGGCAAACCGAGAACCCGACACACATCTCATTCTACCGATCCTCCTCACCGCCACCTCCCAACGACCGGACCTCTGGACCCCCCCTGGCGGCCACTCACCTTTGTACCGTGGCGCTCGACCGGTGAGAGAGAGTTTGAGGGATGGCGACGCTTTGCTCGGAGCCGAAACGGCGGGCGGTGTCGTCAAGCATTGCTGTCCCTCATGTAAGGTACGATTCACGATGGCGGCCCCGCACCCTGCTGACGGTCATCTCTGCGAAGTCTAAACTGGTCCGCAGTTTGCCTCGCTTTTAAAAGAATGTCGCCGCCAGCGTGCTGGGTTGACTCGCTCACTGACTGACTAACGTCGCGCGTGATGAACGCGCCATAGGCCCCCCCACCCCTTGCCCTGCTTGGCCCCCGAGCCACATTCAGGTTTTTTTTGGTAGGCCACATTCAGGTGTTTCTTGGCGAGGCCACATTCAGATATTTGCTTGGTGAGGCCACATTCAGGTGTTTCTTGGTGAGGCCACATTCAGGTGTTTCTTGGTGAGGCCACATTCAGGTGTTTCTTGGTGAGGCCACATTCAGGTGTTTCTTGGTGAGGCCACATTCGGGTGTTTCTTGGTGAGGCCACATTCAGGTGTTTCTTGGTGAGGCCACATTCAGGTGTTTCTTGGTGAGGCCACATTCAGGTGTTTCTTGGTGAGGCCACATTCGGGTGTTTCTTGGTGAGGCCACATTCAGGTGTTTCTTGGTGAGGCCACATTCGGGTGTTTCTTGGTGAGGCCACATTCGGGTGTTTCTTGGTGAGGCCACATTTGGGTGTTTCTTGGTGAGGCCACATTCGGCTGTTTTTTGGTGAGGCCACAGTCAGATGTTTTGTGAGGCCGAAGCCCATCACGGTTTGGTCCCGCCTCAACACTGCGAACAGTAGGTGGGGAAAAAAATCACCCGTACCACGATGGAAAGTGTTGGTACTGATGGACCGATATGTTTATTTGGGAAAACGGAGATTTTTTTTCTTCCGTTTGAGATGAATTGGTCTGGCCTGGGCCGCGCAAGTGTGTTTTGATGCTCTTCCAGAAATTGCTTTTAGACGCTCTCCAATTAAACTTGAGAGTGTTTATGCGTCAGCTCTGTCTGTTCATCTGTAACAGGAAGTGAGGAGGCAGGGGGGCACTAACTCTCTAGAGATGATCCAATATGAATGGGATCGCAGTGTGAATTTGCCTTGCTGTGAAGAACTAGCCCTGGCTTAATCAAAGGGTTAATGCCTAGAACTTTCGAGACCGAAACCAACACTAAAAGGACAATTTGCAAATATGCATACGCATTTCTTTCCAATCGCTACTCGTCGGATTCCATACCGCCAATAAAAAAATACTTCCGAGGATCAGTGCATGTTGTAAATGTTTGCTGGATTCATGCGTGTTCATGATTTGTATTCCTTGTTGATGCACACAACATGCGCATATGATGACACATGAATGTTTCTCATTGTTATTTGTTGGCGTTGTGCAATGTCTGCTACTGTTCGCCACGATTAGTGTTGGCTGCTGTGGCTTGTCGTGTGTGTGTGTGTGTTGGGTGCTGCCTTGTGTTGTATTATGTGCGTGGTGTATCGTGTGGTGTACTGTGTGTGTGGTGCGTATATATGCGTGTGTGGTGTTTCTTGTGTGGAGTATTTCTGGAGTGGTTTATTATTTGTGTAAGGTATTGTGTTTCGTGTACATGTTCTGTATTATGCGTGGATGTAGTGTATTTTGTTCGTGGTGTATTGTGTGGTTTAGTGTCCTGTGTGGTGTATAATGTTTGTGTTTTATTGTGTCTGCATTGTTTGGTGTGTTGGTGTCTAAATACGACTGCATCTCAAGATGCTGTACGGAAATGGTGAAACAAATTTTGAAGAGAGAGAGAGGCAGTAAAGGAATAAAGGAATGTCATGAACTTGAACAGGGGCAGGAAATCGACAGCACGAGTGACTGGGGGAAGGAATTTTTTCGATAATGGGGTAGCATAGGAGAACAAGTGAGCTCACATTGAGTGAAGGTTGACTTGGCGGGACTTCAACAGAGAGCCTTGGTTGCTTGAGCAGAGAGTGCATGGAGGGGATTAGGGTGACATGAGAGTGCGTGGAGGGGAGCAGAGGGAGGGGAGCAGAGGGAGGGGAGAGGTAGGAGAGAGAACACCTGGAGGGGGAGTAGAGCGAGATCAGAGGGGTAGGCAGGGGGGTCAGATCTACGTAGGATCTTGGAGATGTCGAGTGGCAAAGTCAATCCTGGGTTGGATCGGGCGCCAGTGGAGGAATCTGGGTGATGTGGTGGTATTTGTAATGAGCATCTGTTTCTGGAGCTCGGAGACTAACACCTCCGTTATCCAGCCCGTGGGGCCGCGAGCTCCACACGCCTGGGTTGAGATGTCGCCGTTAACGTCCTTTGATAAACGACGCAGCAGCATCATCTCGCTCGCACCGGACACCAGGGGGGCTCTTTTGTTAGTTGCTAGGCAACCGGTGAAATTGGCTTTTGGTGGTCAGTCATGTCACTGGGTTGTGGAGAAGTCCATTCTGGCACGCCACGCGTGCGTGTCTTTGTACGTGCGTGTGTGCGTGCACGCGCATGTACACTGCTCGAGGCAGTTTTTGAGTTCCTGTTGCGGTGTGCAAACATTGCCACGAGAGAGACAAAGGTGGCCGGGCATGGTGTTGGCCACCCACCCCCTCGTGTCGTCTGCTAGCCTTCATAGGTGCTCGCTAACAGCACGTACCCCAACAATGTTAAGCCGAAGCGGGGGATCTTTGTCTTTGACACTGCTCGGGACAGATTCTGTTGAGCGGGGGCCAAAAGGGGGGTGCAGCATGGGCTAGAAAAGAGATGGGCTCATTCGATACGGGAGGATTTAGATTTTAGAGCTAAGTGGACTTGCCGACGTCTGGTATCAGCGGCATCTAGATCGGCTACTGGAGAGGGCTGCGTGAAGGATGCTTCTGGACAGTTGGAGGCATTTGTCTTCCGGCAACAACGGAGGGCGGAGGGGTGAGGCTCGCAATGACGGGCGGATCGCCGGGCGGCTAAAACGCAGCAAGATCGAGCACAGATCATACATCTGCCAGTCGTCTCAGTCAACCCACGGCACCTGGGCCTGTCCCGTGACAGTCGTTGAAGTCAGTATGATGCCCTTGAAAACGGAGTGTTCCATGTTGCTTGGGTCTGTTCCATGAGCTGCTAGCGAACCTTTGTCACTTCACGATGATTAAAAGTGCGTGCACATCGCCGTCATTCACCACCGTCACTTGTTGTTTTACGTACACCGTGGTGTAGTGGTTAGCTCTCTTAAGAACAGTCCTTGGAGGATTAGTGTCAACTTTGCAACAATTGCAGAATATGGTGGTGGTGTGAATCGACGGAAAGATCTGGCCAGATCAACAGCGTTGGGGTTTGATGACCTCTTCTTGGCTTTGACCTTTGAATTTAGAAGCACAATAAAAAAAATTACTGTCGTATTTAACCAAGCGAGAGCCCCTTGAGATTTGTTTTATTTTATAGCCAGATTGATGTTTTGTATTTAATGAGCTGAAATCCATTAAGATTCATGACTTATTTTGATTGAAGTCCTTTATTTAACAAAATGAGAGCTCATTGAGATTCGTTGTCCCTTCCCTGAGTAAGATCTGAAATGCCCTCAGGCGGTAATTGTGTGTATATATTAATTTTTTTACATTTTTTATTTCGTTTAACCGCAAAAGCCAGAATAAGTCTCGATACTTTTTATCAGGAGGGTCCTCCTACATTGGGATGTTTGGCCTTCAATGCCATCAGTGAGAATTTTGGCTTCATGTTGGAGGACACCATAGAATCCAGAGTAAATCCACCATGCATAAGAGCAGTTAATCAAAGGTCCGCACAGATGGAGTCAATCCATCACAGTTCTGCCTCCTGTCATCTCTTTGCCACCTCGCAGAGGTCATTGTCTCCCATGATTGAGCCGCTGCTGGATGAGTGCCTCTCCAAGCCTTGGCCATCCTGTATCACCCTGAGATTCCGTCGCTCCATCTCCCGCGGTGGACGTATTCTCTCGAGAGGAGCGTTCCACCTCGTTGGGCTCAACCACATTTCTTGCCTAAGTTCACTTGACCCTTGTAAACAATCGATGTGCCGTCTCTAACTTTTACCTTGCTGATCTCGTCAAGGAGCATAAACCATCACGCAAACTCTGGACGTCCTCGCAGCAGTGGCTTTTAGCCGGCCATCGAACAAAGACGGTCACCGCATCGCACGCGTTCAGATGCACTTCTGCGGACGTCTGGAACGCTCTTCCTTCTGACGTTTGCAAGCCACTGGAGCTATGTACTTTTAAATCCAGATTGAAACATAATTTCTTTAGAACTGATTTTTGTGTTTAGTTTGACCTTCCCCTGCACCTCCGTTTAACATGGTTGGCTACGTGCAGCACGAAAGAAGTTCAACATACTTGCATACATAACTGGCATTTATTATCTCATTCGTGTGGTCCTCTTTACCTCTCTCAGTGACGATAATGGTGATTAACCCTGCATTCACAGAGGATACAATTTATTATGTGGCATTGGTGGTGCAAGATTAGGAACGCTAGATTAAGTCTGAGAGCAGCACACATGGGATCTAAAATCCACGAATGGAAACCAGAATACAGTCCCCTCTGCTCCACCACCATGTTGGAGCAATTTAATTATTGAGTTTAATGGTGGTGGTGTTCTGCCATTTGGCTCCGCTTTGCATGTGTTTTGTGGAAATGGTGTTGCGTGTTATTTGCTGTAATAATGCTTTGATGAACTCCCACCCCCCTACAAAAAGCCCCATATTCACAAGTTACCAGCGCTGCATTCAGTTGGTCGCACGGGCCGGTGGTCAGTAGCGCAAAAACATTGCACGAATTATTCATGGGTGCAGTATTTTCCAGGGATGCAGCTGTGCCACAGTGGTGGTGTGACGGTCATCAGCACGCTGGACTTGCCAATCCAGAGGCTGCCGGTTCCATTCCATCTCCCGGTGCGGGCCGTTGAAACCAATAGATCCTCCCCCCCCCACCTTCCCCCGCCCCACCACCTTCACCTCTGTCCACCCAGCAGTCTAAGTGAGTTCACAGTTATTCCAGTGCGGTTAAAGTGTGGGTACTCCAACTTCTGCCAACATGTCCAGTCGGCGTGGAATAGTAGGCCAAATATCAATTTTATAAGGGCTAATTGTAC